GAAATAAGCTGACCCAACCGCCCCCTTTTTCACTATGCCTTTGAGCGCTGGCCAATCATCTGAATTCACTCAGTCCCAAATGAGCAGCTTATTTTTCAAAGTGTCTCTCGTTTGTGCTAACTCTGCACCCCGACTGGAGATGGGAGGGGAGAGAGAGGGAGAGTGAGGTGGAGCGCAGTGTCATCTTAGAGCATGTCAGATTATCCTGTCTGGCTTTGAAATCCTCAGATAGGTCAGACTTTCCCTGGTGGAAGAGTATGCGCTGGGAAAATGGGCAGGGAGCATCTCTGCGGGACCTCTGGATCCATGCGCTTTACACAGTTGAGACAGGATTTCATATCATTCCAGGCTACTGGACAAAATTAGAACCAAAATACGCAACGACAACATTTGTTTTAGGATTTAAAGAAAGTTGATCCTTTGTATTTAAATAAACATAATGGTGTGGTCCAATAATATTACTGTCATCAGATAATACAGAAGGCCTAAAGTGAGAAGGAAACACCCGATGATCAGTTTAGTCAAATTTACGTAGTTGGGATAAAAACATACATAAGTAATTCCCCTTTAACTTTGACCAGCAATACTTATTGTAGTTCTGCAATGGATCATTGCAAATATTTGATACATGACAGGCTTTACTGCTGGCTTGTTTGAAACCTCTCTGATAGTTTGGCAGACTTGCTCTCTTGACCTTCTCACCATTAAACCACATTGTTTATAAACCGAATATGAATAATATATATTTGTTATGATAATGTTCTTTCTTAATCCAAGTCTGGAGTACTGTGATATATGATGGTTTCCTAACCCTCACCATGATCTTCGTCATGCCATCAAGTAGTTTTAGTTGCCTACATTTGGGGGATAAGAAAACAAGCTGTTCAAACATCTTGTAATATGTAATACCCTTTAAAAGTGATAATATTAAGGCAAACATTAGGAATAATTTAGATGTATGTAAGTTAAATATTAACACTCTTTTTGAGTCTCCACATACTCTTGAGAGTGTCTAGCTGGGTCTGTCTGCTGGTGGTTCTGAGAGACTGTTATCAGAGATCTTAGGAAACAGCTGCAGCTGCAGAGCAAGGCGACGGAAGCGGTGACACAGAACCACAACAGGTCAGAAAACGTACATAGAGCTGATGTGTGAAGTTTGATGGAGTCATAAAGGTTGGTTTGGCACTGACAAATTATTTGTTTTGGTCATTCAGGTTTGGAGACTTGGCATCATTAAAGCAATGTTTATCTCAGCTATAACTTACGTTAGCTAAAATGGCTAAAGCTATGAAAGTTGTAATAAACTATAGCTATTACCGTTACTGGTGCTGTAGAGCTGTGCTTTGTTGAACATGGTCTGTATGAATGTGTTGAATCATTACTTGTATGTCATATACTTTATATTTGCAGACCACTAATTCATATCAACATTCAGCAGTAAAAAGCCATCAAATTAAACAAGCGGCAAATACAGGAAAAACAAAGATTACCAATGTCAACAGTTTTGCTTGCAAACATTTATAGACCTGTAATCTGTAATCTCACTTTCAGAACACACATATTGCCTTTTGGTTTAAAACTGAATACAAATCCTTACCTTTTTATACCCTCTGGATTCAACAATCTAAAGTGAAATGTGGACAGCTGTAAATAGCACCAAACTCCCTCTGGAGGGAACACAGGAGTTTTAGCCTTGCAGACCATTTACATGCACAAAAACCTATAAAACACTCTCCAAGAAAGGAAGACCCAAAAACCATAATAAGGCCCCTTTAACTATGCAAACAATTCAAGTGAGGATCCAGTAATCATGCACTTATTTGCCAAATCCATTCAATCCAAGATAAATGAAAAGACAGACCAAGGAGTTTAAAACCAAGGTAATGCTCTTTTCTAAAGCTAAAAATACACCAGAGACTGCTTTGGATATTGTAACTACGCAAGGAATACAACTTGAAGTGGTTACCTGTTACAAATACCTTGGTATCTGGCTTGATGACTGTCTCACTTTTAAATTTCATGTAAATAACCTGCTTAAAAAGCTGAGGGTTAGGCTAGGTTTCTTCTACAGGAACAAGTCCTGTTTCTCGCTTGAGGCCAGGAAAAGGCTCTGTGACCTTTTTACCTGTGCTGGATTATGGGTTATATATGAATGCACCTGCCAATTACCTGAGCAAGTTAGATGCTGCGTATCACAGTGCACTGAGATTTTTGACAAATAGGCTACATGCACAGTCACTTCCGCATTCTACTCATAGCGGCCGATTCATTTCCTGTTTGAAAATGACGACCTTCTACACCCGCTGCCTACAAGAGCTTCCGAAATTAAAAATGTCAGATGTTCATCGGATTTGCCGGACGACTAAAGCCCCAGCCAGCAAACTCGATAAAGGCTTCAAATTATATGCTGCGTCATATATACACAACTATGAAGGTAAGAAGGTAACCGGTACTAACCAGCTAGCTTATGCTCCGGGTTACACTAACATTAGCTGTCAAAAGCTAGGTAACGCCAGAGCCCTATAGTATAACTACTACTATTATTATTATTATTATTATTATACTACTACTATAGTAGACTACTATAGGGCTCTGGGTAACGCTATGTACTGTTTCTGGTGTTAATTCTTTAAAACATTAGCCATTTTGCTAACAAATACTATCGTTTAATAGCCTTATAGCCTAGCCAAGGTTGTCTTGTTGTTAGCCACACTGCATAATGGTATCAGCTTTTGTAAAGCAATGTTGCCATAGATGTTTTGACGTGAGTATAGATCTAACGCTGTTGCTCTGTTTTTCTTCATTCAGTGTCCAATAAAGACAGGCTGACAGGGCAGGTCAGCGTGAGAGCCTTGTGCTACAGGTCAATGCGGAAGAGCGAGACAGCACACAGTTTGAGTGTAGGCAGGCAGCATTGACACTGTTCCCCCCTGTTTATTGAGTTTCAGTTCAGTTAAACATTAGTTTACCTTAAGGGAATCTCAACAGTGTCCTACTTCTCCCTGCTTTATCACAGCTGATTGGTCAGATATTATTACATTGATTATGGATGTGTAAGTTTGGGGGTTCAAATATATAGTCAAAACTGCTTTAATACAATTTTCAAGGCATCTTAGTTTCCAAAGAAAGTTCATTGTGGTATTGTAGGGTAAGAGGGTAACACTAAGCATTCAGGAATACATGCTTCTTCTAGGATAATGGGTCAGTAAAAATAACCAATAATTCTACTCATAATAACCTCCTGGCTCATAGTAACAAGTGAGGTTACTAATCACTAGTATTTCTTCTCTCTTTTTTAGATAACGCTTCGTGATTCATCACCAGTGGTGCTCACGCACAACCAGTGCTCCTGTGTTGCAGGAACTGTTTTGTGCAATCACACAGTAGCATTGCTGTTCCAAACAGCACACTACACTGAACTGAACATGCCAGTTGTGCCACCTGTGCATAGCTGTACTGAATCGGAACAGCAATGGCACAAGCCGCGAACAATGGTAATTTCAATGAGGTTCAAATACTTGTAATCCTTCACAGAGTTTTTGTTTTAAAGTGACTCAACGAACAGTAATTGTCTTTTCCTTAAGGGTGTGAAGCCAGGGCCCATCAACTCCATGGTCTTCACCAAGCCTGTACCAAATAGGATGGTGCAGACTGGAGTAAGGTCATTTTAGCTGGAAAATTGTGTTTCCTGTGTTTTTAAAATTCATAATTCTGGTGCTGTATTCCTAACCTTTATTGTCACATTAATGTGCTATATTGTCTTTGCCATTCTTTGTAGGAGTGGATTCTACAGAGGCATGGTGGGGCCATTACCAGATCCCTGCCTGTTCAGAGTTACGGAGGCATACTCAGCATTCAGCATTGAAGACAGGCCGCTTGTGACCACAATGAACATGAGACCTGACAAGCCCCTTGTGGAACGTGCCTTCGGGATTGTGCAGGAGGGCAGTGTTCTGTCCTATCAGATGCCTGCTTTGACGTCTCGGTACACCACACTTCACACTGACACACCACCAACACCCCACTTGCCCATAGAGGGGTATGTGATCTTGCCATGTGATTTACCGCTGGTGTGCTCAGAAGAGGAGCAACTACATATGAACAGCTTATCTGTTGATTTGGAAATGTCTCACAAAATTGAGGAGGCTACCCGTGAGCAAAGCTCTAGCTCAGAGTGGCATCTGCTCCGCAAACCCAGGGTTACTGCCTCTAGGTTTAGAGAGATTTGTCACGTCAGAGGTGAGAGCTCTGCTAACTCTCTTGCAGAGCGAATACTCAAAGGTACAAGGCAGACTGCAGAAATGAGGAGAGGTGCCGAGATGGAGCCCACAGTAGCAGCTGAATACAGTAGACTGGCAAACGTGAACTACTCCCCTTGTGGCCTTGTCATTCACCCCTCTACGCCCTGGCTTGGTGCCTCCCCTGATGGAGTTGTTTTTGACCCAACAGAATATCCCCAATTTGGCCTTGTTGAATTCAAAATGTCCCAATGTCCCAAATTATGTCGACTGCAAATATGTGCAGATGGAATGTGGCTCCCCTAAGCTCAAGAAAAGCCATGCCTATTACTGGCAAGTACAGGGTCAACTTCTTGTATCTGGGATGCAGTGGTGTGATTTTGTAGTGTGGGCACAAGAGGACTACCTGGTGCAAATAATATACACAGATCCAGAAGTGCAAAGAGCAAATTTTTTTTACACATACATGCCGAAGTACCTGTCATTAAAAAAGTAGTGGGCACTGTAGCCATTGTTAACTCTGTAAGCAGTTAGCTGCTAGACCCTGGCTCAGCCGTCATTGTTTTTAGGAGGCAATCCCTCAATCATGTGTTCTGAATGACAACAAAATGTGATTTCAATATTTTGTTTTTGATATATATTGTTTGTCACATTTCATATATGTAAATAAATATACAATTGTATTTAAAAAGACAATAAAGTGAAGTGATTTGTGTAATGAATAGTAAATCAGTGCATTTGTAAGAAATCATCAACGCATTGTAATTTGCTATTTACCATTTATTCAAACAAAACACTAGCGTGTGTCAGGCAACACGGGATTACGGTGTGCTCACCCAGCTTAATCACAGCTACCTGCACAGGTGTCATCAGCTTGTCTTATTTCACCCATTTCTTGACCAGTGCTTTGTTCTGATAGTTTGACAGCATACATGCTACTGCAAACAGTTGGTTGATGTTGTAGGCATGGGACAGGAGGATGACACCATCAAAAAGTGTGTTCTCTTTTATCCTCCTAATGACACGCTCCACATGAACCCTCAGTCTGGCAATGGCCTGTGTCTCCCTCACCTGATAGGCTGGCATTTGCTTCTGCTTTGACAGAAAAGGTGGGCAGTACACTTTGCATTTGCAGTAATCGCTGATCAGGAAGCCCTTATCTACCATCACTGCCATGTTTTCAGTCAACAACGCAGCTATTCCAGATTGTTTGAAAATCTCCTTGTCGCTGACAGAACCACCATACAGACTGGAAACAAATGTCACTGCGCCATGTGGGGCTATGCCAACCAGGGCTTTCATGGTGCAGTGAGATTTGTATGTAGAATACATTTAACTTTGGAGGAGGAGTGAGGATGGTGTTTGACACCTCAGCTCTGTGCAATCCAGGATCACATGTGTGTCTGGGAAATCTTTGAATGCCTCTGGGAGGTGGGCTTGAACTTCTGCAGGTGTAAGCCAGATGCACTGTGACCCCAATAAAGTTGTAAGAAAACTCGTCCATGTTGCAATGATGCGGCTCACAGTGGACTGGTGTACGTTGAAGCGGTTTGCAAGGTCCCTCTCTTTCAAACCCACCGACAGGAAGCAGAGAAAAAGGAAGAACTCGTCAATTGGCTGAAGCAGCTGTCTCTGGAAGATAAACAAAAAAAGGGTACTATATTAATGTCATGAGTGTAGCACACCATAGGAAAAACATTAAGTTGTTTTAGTTCTCTGATGTATTTAAAAAGGATTGAGTACTCTAGCCTTTTAGTCTACACGAAAGCAATGAAATGTTGGAGAAACATTTTCCCTTCAGTTTGTGTTTAGATTGTGTGTTAAAAGAAACGTAGCCTACCGTTGATGGACGTGCGTGTGTAACCACTTCTTCATTCCTCTTGGCAGCTGATATCGCTCTTGTAACATGAACCATTTTATAAATGGAAGGCTCAATCAAAAACCAGAAGGCCATCAGGTGGTTATAGCTCGGGAATCTGTACACAAAAGACACATGACGTTAACTGTAACACATGGGCTAATGCTTTCCTCTTGTTTGCTATAATACATTACAATTCAAATAGACTGATTAAGAAGGCACTTGGTGCAGGTATAGTAATATACAGCAGTAACATGTAACAACTACATTAAAGCAGCAGTAATAATAATCTAAAACATACAGGGAACATTTTACACAGAATGACTACTTTTACTCTTCATTCTTAAGTGTGCAACTGGGAGAAACGCAGTGGATATTGACATGTACTTTTACTTTGGTAAGGTTTTGAAGATTTACACTTGTAGTAAAGTATTATCAGTATGTTGTTAGTATTAGTATGTTTTACTCCACCACATTTTGTTAACCTTCATAGTTTCTAGTTACTTATGAAAACACATGATTTATGATTCTACATGTTCAGTTCAGGAGTATTTTCAAACCATAGTATTTGTACTTATACTTCAGTTAAGTTGAGTAGCCTACTTATTCCAACACTGCATGCAAATAGTCAGCAGTCAAACGGCAGGTAAACAGGATTCTTTATAAGCTAACCCATCTCAAAAACTTGGATAGAATTTAGCCAAAACATTACCTGGTATAGAATCGGATGTTGTCGTCGGAGCCAGCAAAAAAAACTCTCGCTGGACTCTTAACTCCTGCAGTTGCTTCTGCAGATCCTCCACTGTTTTGGAGTTGTCTTCTGTAGCTTGAGAGGACATGTCCAGTGAAGCTGGTTCAGGGGTTGAGCAGTAATCATGGTCACGGACATCGATGTGCTCTTCCTGCTCCTCCCGAGAGACTGGTTCAGTGGGCCGCTCCCTTCTCTCCCAAACACTAGCCCGCGGTGTTTGAGCAGTGAAGTGATTCCACTCAAACAGAGTTGGGACAGCACCTTTCACAAGCCTCCTACGGCCATCAAGGGTTTTTGGCTCTATTAGTTGATCGTAGCGAAGTGACGACTGCAGACCTTGGAGTGAGAGGAGATTGTAAAGTTATCGCGTCGTATTTTAACCAGCCACTGTCTTCGCAGCTCGAGTTCGGTCGGAAAGCCATGGAAACTTAGGACGCCGTTGAATTTAGCTGACGCCGTACAAAGTGGGACACCGCAGTGCTCGGAGTAGTTATTTACTTGTCTTTGCAAATGCTCCGTTTTGAAAATCTTCCGTCGACTCATATTTAAACCATAGATTTAAACAGTAAAACATTTGTGGACGCTCAGCTACGCAGACCAGAAGCAACCCGGAAGCGTCCGAGCAGTATAACGGCTAAGGCGGAAGTACGTCTCAGACCCTAGTGCATGTAGCCTATTGTAAAGCACTAACACATCACTGTACCCTGTATAGCAAGGTGGTTTTGCCATCACTTACTGTACGGAGGCTCAGTCACTGGTACATGTTCATTTACAAAGCCATGTTGGATAAACTTCCATCTTATATCTGCTCCCTGATCTCTCGGTGAATTGAAAGTACTTATTGCCTGAGATCGCATGCTGTGGTTTTATTAAATGTGCCAAGTGCTAGGACTGTCTTAGGGAAGAAAGCTTTTAGATGTACAGCTCCACTAACTTGGAACAGTCTGCAAAAAGAATGGAAAATTACCAATCTGGTACCACTACATGTTTTTAAAGCTCGGTTGGATGCTACACAATCAGATGCTGTTGGTACCTGTACATGTGGATAGATATGTCAATTGTAATCCCTGTGTTCTGTTGTTTATATTTGTATGTCTTCATGTGGAACCTACTGCTGCAGGTCTCCCTTGAAAAAGAGATCAATGGGATTTCACCTGGATAAATAAAGGTTTTGAATTGAATTGAACATGCTGTGTAAGTAAATCAATCAATGCTGTTTTAGATTGGAGTCCCCTGTTAATTTGCAAGACCTGATATCTTTAGAGCTTTATTTGGGTTAAGGCAGGGGTGTCAAACTCAATTTCATCGCGGGCCACATCAGCATTATGGTTACACTCAAAGGGCCGGTTGTAACTTTATAAATATACAGTACGAGTCAAAAGTTTGGACACACCTTCTCATTCGAAGGTTTTTATTTATTTAAATAATTTTCTACATTGTAGATTAATACTGAAGACATCAAAACTATAAAACACATGGAATTATCTAGCAAACAAAAAAGTGTTAACAAATCCAGAATATGATTTATATGTTTTAGATTCTTCAAATTAGCCCCCTTTTGCCTTGATGACAGCTTTGCACACTATTCTCTATATAAATATACACATAATATATATTAAATAATGTATTATATGATTGGCTCTGCATTGGATTATTATCAGTTCTGGTAATAACTTCATAAATAACTCCGTCTGAAAGCAGAAGTCTAGGGCAAATAATTGAAAGCAAATATTCAACAATTACACCAATTGTATTCTATATAATATTATTTGCAAGCTCTTGCGGGCCACATAAAATGAGGTCACGGGCCGGATTTGGCCCGCGGGCCTTGAGTTTGACACCCCTGTATGGCGGCAAATCTCTGTCATAAATCGCGAGGGCATATGAGGGCACAAGTCAAGCAGCCGCGGACGTATATTATTTTCGCGAGCACTAAAACGGCACTCGCGCGAGAGCAATATTGAAGCCTGCAGGGGAGAAACATGCCTTGAGCATGTGCAGCATCTATATGAGCTCTCCTTGGTCTCCTTCACTCGTGAAACTCTGGCCTGCTCTCACTCGCGGATACATTTTAGGAAGTGGGCGTACCGTGTCCCAGTAACGCCAAATCTAATTGGTTACACCCCTACTCGTTTATGATTGGCCGTTGTCTAGATTTAAACCAAGAAGTACTTTTTGTCCCTCTCCAACGTGATGAAATATGGCTGTGGAAACGCCTCACGTAACTTACTTTACTTTACTAATGATTGTTTTAATTAAAGGCATGCTTTTGTATTCTGTGGTTATTCCACAAGAGCCGTCCTTACTTATAAATGGATTGAGTTTTTTAGATAATACATTTTTATACATATTTTTCAAAAGTATTCAAACAATTCTATTATAAAGATAATAACCAATTACCTTTTCGGTCTTGACATATGATAATATAAAATGTAGCTTTCAAAAACTGAATTGGGAATTAATAATTTGATTACTTTAGCAAAATATTTTATTCACAAATGTCGCTTTTTCAAAATGTCCCCAGTTTTTATTGCCTTACTCAAATAATACTATACAAAAAAAGTATAAAATGATGCAAATGTCAAAAAGTTTCTTGGCACCTTTTTTTTCTGTTCAAATGCCCTCAGATTATTTTTTGGAATGTTTATGATGAACATTGATGTTTATGTGCCTTATTCTGTATTTGTCATAATTGTTTCAATAAAGATTTACCACATTTCTTAAAAATATAATTAAATACAAATAAAATAGTGAATAGATAATTGTGCTATAGCGTCAATCTACCTCTTTCAAATAAATAGTTGAAATAATAAGAAATACATTATGCTGAATTCAGTAGAGGTTTGGGAGTTTTGAGATGAGTGTATAAATTCAAGTGTCCAGTGTTAGAAATAGCTAGCTAACTAAGATAGATATTTCTGTACTTTCCCATTTATCTAATTTCCCCGCCTCGACTCCTCGGCCCTCCCTATCTGATCTTTGTGACCCGGAAATGGATTTCAGCGCGCCATGTTGAAGGACATCTAATTTCTCTAAATGTACATCGAGGACCGAGGATCGAGCATCGAGGAGGCTCTCTGGAGCACTGTAAACCCGAACGTTCAAAAATAATTAAATAGATTTATTTAATTTAAACTTAATGTGTAAACTTAAATAAAATAAAAAGTTCTACTAACTTCAATATTTTCAGTTCCTGTGACTGTTCTTCCTTTTTGAGTTAATTAAACTGATAATCTTTGATTAACTTTGGCGGATTAAGTAAGCATCACTTAAAAATATAAATTGAACTGTACTCATTTCTAATGCTTATTAATGCGTGTGTCTGACGCAAGCGGCAAACTATGGGCCACTTCCGGGATGCGAATCAGGAAGTGCCTCAAACTGCAGTTCATCTAGTGGCCAGTAGGAGCAGTCTGCAGAAGGGAGCAATTTCCATAGACCCCAATGTTAAAATGCCCAACTTTGCAGCAGAAATAAACATGTTTACATCATGGTTTCAAAACATTGTATTCTCAGTATAGTCAGATTCCCCCTTCCTGTCTATGGATCCTGGAGTGAATTTGTTCTCAACTCATCTGTTTAATTAATATTCAGTCTTAAAGTTATGCATAAATTAGGGCGTGGACACTTTGAGTGACAAGTACGAGCCTCACTGTCGGCTAACAGCAATTTGTCAGCTCTGTAGGCTCATAGGCTAGGCTTTGCTAGTTGTATTTACCGAACTTGACCCAACGGACGTGTCCGTGGATTTTGTGTCTTTTGTTAAGTATAAGACAATTAAAATGTCTTGTTGTGCGGTTGATTGTACTAACCGACATTCCAAGAAGTCTCTTTTCCACTTTTTTCGGTGAGTATAATTGTAATATTGTATATATATATATATATAAATATGTCCAACCCGTTAGCATTGATTAGCTGGTGTATTTGTCTAGCTTAGCTCGTTAAACAGCGAATTAGCCGCGGTTGGTAGAGCTATGGCAATAAAACATTTTGAGCATAGAAAATGTTATTGAGCGCGCAATTTAACATTTTTGACTCTCAAGCCCTCTCACAAACTCCTGCTCCGTGCGCAAGCAGACTGCTGCACACGCTCTCTCTCTCTTCCTCTCTCTCTGTCTGTCTCTCTCTCCCTCTCTCTTCCTATCTCTCCCTCTCTCTCCCCCTCTCTCAGATATTAATTATTAATGCCATAAATGATTGCATACATTTACAGTTTCTTAATTATCCAGTATGATAGCTGTCAAACAGAAGTTAAATCCATTTCTCACTTAATCTAAGAATGTACTCAACCCCCTAAAAGGATTTCTTCTCAAATAATCGGGGAATTACGTTGTAAAAACAGGGGGTTACGTATTGTAACCCTAGTTATATAAGCACAGACGGAGCCCTCTACTGGACTCTATGGGTACTACCTCTTAACCATACTATGCGAGCATTCACCTACTGAGATATCTATAAACGTAGCCGGCCCCTGGGGCGGGCCTACCTGAATGCATGTACAAGCCCACCGTATATAAGGTGGCCTCGCCTCCTGACTGTCATCCTACACCCTCTTCAGCGAGCGGCATAGGACAGACAGGGCCCCAAGTAGAGGGCTCCGCCTGTGCTTATAGAACTAGGGTTACAAATACGTAACCCCCCTTTATATCTTACACAGGCTCCGCCCTCTACTGGACTCTATGGGTACAGTGGGTGGAGCCCTGATGCATAAACGCCCTGTTGTCCAACAACATCAACCCATCACACTGACCCTGACCGGCTTTTAGTTAACAGCCACTGCCCCGCAAATTCTTCTCCTCCGGCTGTGACCGTGGAGAAGTCGGGCCGCAGTTTACTTGGCTGGTAGAGCACACTCAGACACGCTTACCTCGTGTAGAGTGTGCATGGAAAATAGTGAGGAAGGCTCTCCCTGCCTGCCCATAGCCCTGCATGGGGCTTACCGTTGAAGTAAAGTGTTACAGCAGAAGGTTTAATACAGCGTATTTCTGGTATATTCATTTTATTATGTCACCTGATATATAAGAAGTGTGTTCAATTTGAATGGCAGAAAGTCTTGTTGCAGTTTCCAGATATCAAGAGGGGGCCATGAGTATCTTTGTTAATCATCAATGTTTTTTTGCAATTAACAGGGGAACTCCAAGAGAGATTTTCCTCAGATATAATGCAGTTAAAGTCTTGTTAGTTAATGATTCATTTCCTGCAAGGCTCATAAAGAGGCCAGGATTATCAATAAATTTATTCATTCCAAGTAAACTGACGTTGGGGTGGAATAAAGTTCAGAGGGGAAAACATGTGGCATTTGTGAG